GCCAACCTTGGCTCTGCACTTCGAGTCGCCCTTGCCGCCCCTGGCCTCGCAAGCCTCTCGGAACTTGCAGTTGTCCAATGCCGTGACTTTGAAGGCACTGCTCTTGTAGAGCTTGCACTCAGTGTATCCCTTGTCGTTGATGCGGGTATAGCTGGGGTCGCATGCCCAGTCGGTAAGCGCATCGTTCGTGGTGCCGTCTTCATTTGTGCAGGCGCAATACTTGTATTGGTCGCAGGCTTGAGCGGTGAACGCAAGAGCGAGGACGGAAAGAACGAATGAAGCCTTCATATTGAGGTTGTAAAAAGGCTGTCGCTGTTAGCTGGGTGTCCCTGGCGAAAGACATGGAGCGTACAGTCGTACTTACTAAAGACCGTGCTGTGAGTTTAGAGATGAATGTCTGTTTTGAACGAAAGACTGGACGAGCTTGGGATTGCTTGCTGTTGTGAACATGAGTTGAGAATCATTCGTACCTTTATAAGATGAACCCTTCAGTTCCGGCGTAGGGCGTAGCAGCATAGACTCTACTAAAACATGGGGGCATGGTCATCGGTATTGCCGACTTTCTCCGCCTCTTCTCGTTACCCCCACATCCCATGTTGCAGGAAATTGTCCCTGCTTGGCAAAGGTTAAATATCCCCTGGCAACTGACTCAATTAAGCATCAATCAGTCCAGTTTCGCAGGTGACTTGAGATGAACAGCCACACTTTAACTCATATGCTACTGGCCATCAATCTCAATCTGGAACACAATTGAGATGTCACCGTGTGCCGTTTTTCAGGGGTCAGCGTGAAATCTACAGCCCTACTTGCGGAGCTACCCGTGGACCGTGATTCCCATCACAGGCTCAAAGAACGGAACAGATGGTTGAGCCAACTTTTGATTGACTACATCCGCGGGAGACCTTTTATTAATGAAGATCGCTGGTTCCGAAGTTAATTAGGTCGGCCTCGATAAACACACCGAAAATGCCGGATGCGAACGGCGCGTACTCGGCACTTATCGTACTCGGGCTCGGACCCGTTCTACCGCCGGCCCTTGTCTGTGACGGACACCTCCAGGACGCTACAATGGGTTTCGGCCTGGCCCTCAGTGGTGCAGTCCCCAGATCATCTGAACACTTGATCTTCTCCACCAGCGCCGGACTCAAAGATAATGTCTTCGATTAAGTTAGTCGGGGGGACTATGTAAGAAAACACGTTTGTCGCACCGGACATTCTTGATTGCGGTCCAGTTCTTCAACAATGCACTACAGTTACTTTTCTTGACCAGGACAGTTCTCCTGCTGTTTCCACTCCTTCGTGCGAATGTTGGCCACATCATCAATCTTTTGGCGTTGAGGCAACGGACAGCTTGAAAGTCGACGCTATCGAAGTTCTTTGCACGGAGGATTTGGTAGATGCAGGGAAGTACATGAATTTATTGCTATTTTTGGGCAAAGAGAAGACGTCGCAAGCAAATTAACACAGCGATGGTGCGATGAATAAGCGCTGGGTGACGGTAGTGAGATTGCGGCTATCAACGGCCGGGAGGCGGGCGGCATGAGCCAACAGCAAGGCAATTTCATGCTCGATTCAGCTCCTATGCCTCGCCACAGCACCATTTATGATTGTCTTTTGCCAAGTCTTAAAACGTCTGATAGTCAATCTTTTGATCTGGCTATGGGTATTATGGAAAATCCCGATCGTCCTTGGCAATTGTGCACTTCAATGCCGTTAAAACTTGAGTACGTGCCATTTCCTTTTCCAGTAACTTTTCTCCGAGGGCAAAGTCTTCTAGTATCTTTTTTGACTCAAGTTTCGCTGCTGCCTTACACAGCGTCACCGAGATGGTAAGCTCCCAACCTTTAATCAAACCACCTGATATCGAGATAAACCTTAGTACAGAAGTAGTGTAGTCGTGCCAAATGAATGTGATTATTTTCGTGAAATCGTGTAAAGATCGTAACTAGATGCACCTAGATCCGCCGCTTATATAATGCTGGTCATACTCGTTTCCTCATATCCTACGACAAGACGTATCCCCCAGTATCTTCAGTGAGATGCTGCTTAGAATCCTCCGTTGGGGCAGTAAGCAACGCCACCATCACTGGGCCAGCCGCAGCAAGATCCGTCTCCAGCTCCGGCACCAACCTGTTTAGCCGAAGGTTAGCAAGCCGATCTCCATGTCGAAGTTACCCGCAGTACGGGCGAAACCGTGAAGACTTACGCAAGAACCGACACCGCAGTCGTAGTTAACCAGGCCCCACATGCAGCTGGTTCCGTTGCAAACCTATTTTGGCATCTGTCAGTCTCATATTCTAACGCGAGCATCATGAGTTGGGATGAAGACATACACCCTTAGAAGCGTAGTTGCTAGGGCACTCCTTGCGCTTGAACAGCTGGGCAGGAGTTGCCGCGGCAGGTGAAGACTCGGGAGCCGGAGTAGGAGCAGCGGCGACGAGGGTGAGAGCCGAAGCGATGGCGAAGATGGTAGAGAACTGCATTTTGACTGAGTTGAGAAGATGTTGTTGCGTGGGTAAGTGTGTGATGGGAGCTTTGGGTTGAATGAAGCTGTGATGATGATGAGGTTTGAGTGGAAATACTGGATGGCATACGGAGTATTCAGTAGTTTATATAGATTTTGAAGCAAGTTGCCAGCAGGCGTTATTCGCATCAGACCCATCATTATCTTGTAGCCGAGCCGTGTAAGTCTATTCTCCACCAGTCTCTCTAACCGCACTGCTGCGTGTACAATTGCCCGACTTCTGTTTCTATTGTGGATCTGTCTACTGTCAAACTGGCTTGATGTGCCCCAGGGCTGACTGCGACTGTCGATCTTGTGAGCACGGGTCAGCGTGGATGGTACGATTTCCTGAAAATGGACTCCATGTTTAAGATGTACTGGAGCCGGTGTTGCCTTCTCGGATAGACTTGATTGGTCACAGAAGGTCACCTAGTCTCGGCCTCATGGTTGTAGCTCAGGCCCCCATCCTTCCGTCAGACAATGTATTGGACTGACAAGTTGAGGACTACAGGGTCTATCGTCAAGAGCTCAGTCCGAAATCCCATCGTCACCTCCACAGCAAGTCGGAAGGCTCGTCCCGTTCGGAAGGATTTTGGTCAGGCTTAGCGCAATCCAGCGAAGATCGTCGTAGGGCTGCCGGCATTCAATCCTACGATCCACCATTAAACGGGCACCAACCATTCTTCATTCGCAGGCCCCGGGGAACCCAACTGCCATGTCCTTTTGCTAGTACTGCAACATCATCAAGGCTCAGCTGTCTGTGCCCCGCCAAAGGAAGGATCCAGTTGCGGTGTCCCCATAAGCTTACTGCAGGCCGTGAAAACACTCCGAAATGGGACTTTCGTCGTGGAAGTCTTGGTGCAGCACTTCCGCATCCGGCTTGTCTTCTTGCCATTCGTGGGTAGTTCGGCCCATTTCGGACTCTCGTGTTTGCTTTGAAGTTTAGATGGTGTCGACGAGTTGACTTCATGCACTGCCATCCGATGTGACGAGAAGTTGCCCGTCGTGATCCCTCTCGCAATGTTTGCAGTGCTATTTCAAATCGACCTTCTATTTGAACCGTGATTCCTAACAGTCAATCAATCTACCTAAGCAGGCATTGTATCCTCCTCCGACGAGGGTTCACATCAATCCCGACGTGAATCAGTGGACAACACACGGATGCCTGGCTCTGACTGTCGATCAGCCCATATCCCTCAAACCCTGCTGGACCTCGTCGGACTCACCTCGGTACCCAAATACCGACTTTAAAATGGAAGCGAAAGACAGCCATGAATTTTCCTGAGTCGCAACCTTGCAGCAAAAGGACTTCACATCGTCGGCCGACGCAGGGCGAGTCCGACTTGTCGGGGTGGGCGGCCGGGACAAACCACGCGGATTTTGCGGTGTGCCAACGCAAAAGTTTCCATCTCTCCCCATAATTCACAGCCGTCAGTGCGAGGGAGGGCCCCCCAGTAGTTGGGCGAAAGAGGCTGTTGATCGTCGCTGTCTGTGATATTGATCCACGTAGGTTCCACCTCTCATGGCAGTGTGACGCCCCAGAGGCGCCCGGGCAAACAATAGAGAACTGATTGAGCTGTAGGAAGATGTCCAGGCTGTTCAAGGTTGGTTTTGTGGGGTTTGACTTGCGGCAAGCTTCAATCCTTTGAAAATGTGCGACGGCAGAGAGGTTTATGGGATACGCACGGTCGAAGCTTGTTGCCAGCGGGACGTGAATTACGGTTTCTTCACTTTGCTCTGTCCTGTAGTGCTGCAAGTAAAATGCGTTCATTATGTGGTTTTAACAGAATAGAGGGCCAGCATCTCAGGTAGACTCTCGGCGCGGTCTTTGACGTAGACAACTGCATCAGGAGAAAATATTGCTGAAGTCTTGCGGTGGATTTAACTCTGATAAAATTCAAATCAGACTATGATATGTTATCATACCAAACCAAATCATACCGCTTATCAGTCTTGAACCATCTTGTCATGCAACTGGACTGAGCACTGACCGATGTGCCCTTGCTGCCTTTTGCCCTCCTGTGAAAGTCCCTGCTGAGTGGGCTCGAAACTTCCTCGGCAAGCCATCCATTTATTTTTTCATCAATATTTTGAGGTTATTCGCACATCCTTGGGAAGCCCTCTTGGCTTCAAGCCTTCCACTTCGTCCCGAACACACATTCCGTGGCAAACCTTCTCGTATAAGCGAATGCACAAATCCAAAGTCAAACATAAATATTGTGTGAATATACGAATGTTGCATGAATATCATATGAATATTGTATGAATATTGCTCCAAGGCGCAAGAACGCAAGGTCTAATACCCAACGGATTCAACAGCCACAAACGATCAAGGTGATGCGAAAGCCACCACCACATGCCCTGGCACGATACCCGGGCGTACAAAAAGGCACACAACACTCCCAACCTTTCGCCCCTCTCCGCTCTTTTTTTGGTTTTCTTTCAACTAACCCTAAAGGTCCCGACACAGCCTTGAATCAACCCGGACACCTTCATCATGAAGGTCACCACCGTCTTACTCGCGGCCGTCGTCGTCCTCACCGGTGTCGACGCCCTCGGCAAGGGTGGCAAAGGTCGCAAGGGCGGCAAGGGCCGCAAGGACGGATATTACAGAGGCGGAATCGATATGGGCCAGAAGAAGGATCCCGAAGCTCGCAAGACGGAGTGTCCCAAGTCTATCGGCTCTAGGGGCGTAAGTTGAGATTACGTTTTCTTGCTCATTCGCGTTTCGTTTTCCTGCTTCCGGCTCCCTCTGTCTCTCACTGTCTCTCCATCTTTGTTTGTACACAGCTATCTACCTCCCCATGAACTCATTTCTCCCCCTTCCTTGCCTATCTACGTTCTGTACCTTTGAAGCACATATCCCATCAAAAGCCACACGCTACAACCCAACAACCAGAAGCGAACGAAACGGCACTAACAACCCACAGAGATGCAACGGAACCTCCTGCCGCGTGAGGGGCGCCAACTACCCCTGCGTCTTTGGCAAATGCGTAAGCCCTGCCCCGTTTCCTCCCCTTCCACCATTCTCGTCTCTAACCACCTCCCACAGACCGGTGACGGCGGCCGCGACGGCGCCTGCTGCGGCATGCTATCTTACGGCGTCCACGCGCGCTGCCCCAACGGGCTCACCGGCGAGAAAGAGATGATCAACGGCACGATGGTGCCCGAGGACCGCGGCGGCTGGGGCTGGTGGGGCCACCCCGAGCTCCCCATCGAGGACTGGTACACCAAGAAGGAGTGCAAGGCCATCGGGCCCGACCTGAGCAAGATGGGCGGCATGATGGGCGGCAGCGCCGCCGCCATGACGCTTGCGGCGCATTTCGAGGAGTTGCTCGCGGACGACTACGACACCGAGGTGAGGGCCGCCATTGCGAAGGATCCCGAGGCTGCCGCTGCGGCTGACGCTGCGGTTGCCGCTGCTGCTGCTGTTGATGACGCCGAAGATGATGAGGAGGAGGAGGAGGATGCTGCGGTCCGAAACGCTGAGGCCGAGGCCGGCGGCCCTCCCAAGAAGAAGAAGGATCCCAAGGGCAAGAAGGATCCTAAGGGCAAGAAGCCTCCCAAGGGCAAGACGCCCGATTCCCAAGACGGCCCCCCTCTCACCGGGGACGATCTAAAAAGATCAAGGTGTGGCAAGCACCTTCAAAGCAAACACTAGAGAGCTAGGGTTTCTGCTCCTCGCCTTGTTGTTTGCTCGGGTTTTGCCAAGTCTGGGCTACGCTTGGTTCTACAGAGGAGAGGAGGATCTGGAGGTTGAGGGTTGGAACTTTGGGTTCGTTGCGACGGATTGAAATAGGGGTGTCACTTCACATCATTCGCCTGCAACAGGATCACACGGTATGGTTGTCAGCTGAGTACAGGACTCGTGCCACAGTCTTTCATTGTTTGTTTGGCAGCTGAGTCGCTGGGTGGAGGACGAGTGCCTGGGCGAGAATGTTTCTGTTGGCGTTATGGAATTGTGGTCTAATAGGGGAGAGAGTCTGGGTTGGAACTTTGGGTTCATTGCGAAGGATTGGAATCAGGGGGTCATCACATCAAGCAACAGGATTACATGTGTTTTCCGGTTGAGTCCCTGAATGGCTGACTTTTGTCACGCCATACCATACTCAATCGACAATTTGTCAGTTGCGACCCTGCGGATGGATGACTTTGTTTAGTGGCATTTAATGGAATTATCTTGGATTTACACAGCTTGATTTGCCTTGTGACCTTGGATTTGGTGTTGTATCCACAGGCATGGAATGGGGATGCTCAGTTGTTGGCCGTATACCGGATGTTTGTGGCGTCTTTGGTTTTCCTCCTTTGACTAGTATCGATCTTCAATTTTGCCATCTCTGTAGATCATCCATACTAGCCAACTAAAGTTTCACTATATTGAAGTATGCCATTTCACTTCCATTTTGACTCAATTTGAATTACTATGTTTACAACCTTTTCACTCCATTACACTAGTCAAACAATAATTCATCCCACATCCCCAAACTTAGTTGAAGTACGCAAGGAGTCCTCTCTCGACAGCAGCGCCAACCACACCAGCACCGGCAACGATCCATACCCACTTGTTGTTCGCCTCCTTGACGGCCGGCCAGAAGCTGTTCTTGTCGGTCCTGTACTCCCGCAGCTGCTGCAGCTTGACGGGGCTCGTCTTGGCGTACCGCTCCTCCTGGCTCGCCTCGTTCTCCTTGTCGCCGCCGAGGTAGCGGAGGATGATGTAGTTGAAGATCGGGCCGAGCACGGCCAGCGGGTGGAGCATGCCGGCACTGTAGAGCAGGACGGGGAAGGAGAGGTGGCAGAGGGCGTCGCCGAGGTAGCTATATGAGGTCAATACCTTTCGTTTTATATGACAGGAAAGGAAAAGGGGTCACTTACTTGGGGTGGCGAACAATGCTCCAAACCCCCTCGCGGTTAAGCTCCTTGCTCTTCTTCGAGTGCGCCTCAAGCTGCGTGTCCGCAAGCGTCTCAAGCGCAAAGCCAGTAGTAAACAGGAACACAGCCAAGCTGTGGAACGTCTCAGGGAAGTCGGTAATCAGCGACGCACGCGCACTCGCCAGCGGTGCCTGGAAGGGCAGCGTGAACGGCAGCGCAATCAAAGCCTGGAAGGCAGCCTCGGGCAAGAACATGGTGAAGAACGCGCGATCCCAGAACTTGGGGTCACGCTTCTTGGCGACCACGTAGCGGTCGTCGTCCCGGCCGCGCTTGACGCTGCGCGTCGCGATGCGGTACAGCAGGCGCCCGCCCCAGGCGCTGACGCCCGTGAGGAGCAGCTTCTGCGTGTAGCCGAGCGAGTCCCATGCCGAGGGCAAGGAGAGGCCATCGTAGATGACGCGGGTGCCGACGGCGGTCCACCACGCGTTGGCGACCTGGCCCGTCGGCCAGAGGAAGTCCTTGGCGTCGACGCGGTCGGTGTACCGCGCCACGGCGTACGTGACGGTGCTCAGGCCGGCGTGGAGCCCGAAGGAGGGGAGGAGGGCATTCTGGAGGAGGCCGAGGGTTGTCGTGGTGGCGCTGTTGACGGGGTTGCTCGGGTGCAGGTTGAAGTGTGTGCCGTAGCGGTCCTGCTCCGCGCCGGACACTCGAGGGAGACGGCGGGAGATGCCCTCAGCGGAGGGGGCTTTGCCGCCGAAGTGGCCTCCGAAGCGGTCCTGCTCGGCGCCCGAGGCTTGAGGCATGGCGTTCTTCACCTCGGAGGCGGAGGGAAGCTTGTCGCCTCCGAACCAGCCCCCGAAGCGGTCTTGCTCGGCGCCAGAGGTCTTGGGCAGGTTCCGCTCAACCTTGTCCGCGACCTGCTCGCCCTTGCCACCCCACCACCTCTCATAGCGGTCCTGCTCGGCTCCAGAGACATGAGGGAGGCGGTCTCCGAGCTTCTCGATGGAAGGAAGCTTGTCGCCGCCGAACCAGCGGTTGTACCTATCCTGCTCGGCGCCCGAGACGTGCGGCAGTCTCTCGCCCAACTTCTCCATGGAGGGGAGCCTGTCGCCGCCAAAGTGGGTATTGTAGCGGTCCTGCTCAGCCCCCGAGACATGCGGTAGCTTCTCGCCCAGCTTCTCGAGGGACGGCAGCTTGTCGCCGCCGAACCAGCCAGCGTAGCGGTCCTGCTCGGCACCAGAGCCGCGGGGCAGATGGTCCTTGACGGCGTCGGCGGCCTTGTCTGCCTTGTTGCCGCCGAACCAGCCGCCGAAGCGGTCCTGCTCTGCGCCCGAGGTGGCGGGCATGCTTGGTGTTGGGATCTTGTCTGTGTTTACTCCCAGATGGGATTGGTAGCGGTCTTGTTCTGCCATTGTGCCTTCCGCGGAGCTCAATGGGTTTTGTCGGATTGATCGAACGATGAAGGAGGGGGAAGCTCGTGACAGAGGAGGTGTTATTTATTGGAAAGGGAGGATCAGATCGGAGCTCGGGTAGCTAGCTGTTCCCCTTCTGCTGTTAGTCCTTCCTCTGGTGGCATGTTTCCTTCCCTCGTCCGAGCACAGCTGGAAGCACCTGCAGCAGCTGCAGTTGGACGCTGTAAGAATGACGTACATCCGTGGTAGGGCGTCGGGGGCGATCCACCGCACCCTTGCAGCTGCGACGTCACCAGCCCCTGGGACGGGCATGTTGGCTGATTCTCTTCGTGTTCTGGACTTGTGTGTTTGGAACGGAGGCGATGAAGGTGGATTTATTATTTCATGACTGCCGGCTCACAACAATCTCACAAATCTCATCTCACTCGTCTTCACAATCGACCCTGGCTGAACATGACTGATGCTGTTGATGAAGCCCTTGCATCGACTTACAGCGGGCGACAGGGGCACTAAGAGAGAGTGCGGGGCTGGCGGGTGCAATGCAGATCCCCAAAAGGCGGGGGGGAGCACGGAACGAACGCTTGCGGCTAAAATGGACATGGTCTGGCCTGCATTCCTCTGCGTGGCGTGGCATCGGGTGATCGATCAGCTTGACTCGGACGGGATGGGACAGTCAACCGAGTTTTTTCTTCACATTTTCAAAGATGGTGTTGATGGTTTTGAAGATGAAATGAAGAGATTCTGTTGCTAAACAGCTCATACAAGACGGGATTACATGTAAAGAACCCCCAGGGAACTCCAATCGCTCATACATCGTGAGAGCTTCGTCATCCCAATTTGACCCAAAACATACGGGGCATCCACAAAAACACCAAAAACTCCAGAAATAGTCAAAAGAAACCCCCGTCATGCCCGCCGTGCCGGTCGTACTTCTTCCCGTACGGAGATGGCGGCAGGTCCTGCGTCGGGGGAGGGAACATGGGCGAGGAGACGAGAGCCTGTGTCTTGCGCTGCTGCTGCTGCCCATCCGCCCGTCCACCTCCTCCCTCGCTGTACGCAGCTGATGAGTCCAACATCAGGTCGAACAGCGTCTCCTCATCGTTCTCGTCGATGGAGACGGAAAGGTCTGGCGAGAACGAGAATGGCGCTACTAACCTTGCCGAGGGCCCATCCTCCTCCTCAACTTTGCTCTCCGGCCCCATCGTTCCGGTTGCTGGCGGCCGTGAGGAGTCCGCTGATTGCAACGACGCCCTTGAGTACGAATTGATAAGCTCCTCGAGCATCCTGCAGTTCCTACAGAGTATGCCGATGCCCGAGTCGGAAAAGCGGCAGCCCGAGTCGGTAGTGTGCGGCGCCGTATGCGTCGACGGGGCCGCGCTGAGCCGCGGGTCGCAGAAGACGTCTTCGTTCGGTCGCAGTGAAGGCCGCATGTTGCATTTGCTGCAACGTATGTCCGTGTTGTTCGAGTCGCGCAGGCCGCCTGCGCTAGTTGGGTTCGACTCCACGCCAGAGGAGTACTCCGCGTCCGAGGAGGTGCCTTTCGGGGACGTGTTCCCCTCGGGGCCGGCGTCGGAGTGCTCCGTCAGGGCCGATATCCGCGGGAAGGGGATCGTGAGCGTGGCGGGGATGGGGAGGTTGGTGGTGCGAGGGGGGAGCTTGGCTTTGGGGGAGCCCTCGCTCAGGCTGCGGCGCTGGGCAGGGATATGTGGGCGGAGAACGGGGTCGCGGGTGAAGCTTCTGGTCTCGGTAAGGGGCGGGCGGCGATGATGCTCTGGTGGCACGAGAATATTCCTGACACCCCCTGAGGACGCCGAGGAGAGCTTGCGCGGGCGGTTGTTTGGTGTATCCTGTGTCTGGGACGCGGAGCGGGAGCGGTTTGGTGTTCGTGACGGGGGCTGAGTCCGGCAGGAGATGAAGACACTTCGGAGATGGGCTTCCACGGCGAGGGAGAGGGAGCCGGTGATGACGGGGATCTGTGCTGACAAGAGGTCGCTGTTTGCAGATTGGGAGGCGAGGAACTTGAGGCGTTCTTCGAGGCTTGCTTTCAGGGTGGACATGTTGGCGCTGGTGAAGACTTCTTGTTCAACTTGGGGAAGCTCGATGGCGGGCAGAATGGCTGAGGTTGTTAGCGGCGGTTATCTATCTGAAGGGCAGGCTTGACTTACCTGGACGAGGAACTGTCCCGTCATCTGGGAAAAGACACTTCCACAAGTCGTCCCATGATCTAATATTCCCCGCCTCAACACCTTCGGACAGTGTTCTCGCCCTGCCGGCAGTGATGCCATCTTCAGGGTCATTGCTGGGCGGAACAGCCTCCGAGCGAGGATCACACATCTGCTCCCTCGGGAGCATCAAATGCTCCTTAAAGGCATTTGGCTCAGGGAACCCCTTTTCGCATCGCGGGCACTGGAACAGCTGGGAGTCACTGGCATGGCGATGGTGTCTCGTGATGTGCTGCCTATCAAGAGATCAGTGGAATCCTTCTGTTGGGCCTTGGTTGACTTACTGCAGATCGGAAAGGCTCTTCCACTGGCCCTGCGCGCAGTGCCAGTTGTCGCTGACGTTGAATCGTGCAGGATTGCGCGTTCTGAACGGGCAAGGGAGCGCTGTCGTGGTGGTTTTTGCTTGTTGGACATCGACGACTGGCGCTGCTCTGGCCGGAGCATCTGTCTTGACATCCCCTTCATCCATATTTGGGGCTTCTCCCATACGCCGACTGTCGTTGTTCTGCTTCTGGTTATGCCGAAGTCCCCATGCTTCCAGCGGCCATGGATGGATTGAATTGGAGGCTGGGGCTGGCGTCTCCTGTGAGATCTTGTCTGCTGGGGCGTCCTCTTTCGGCGGCTTGCTGGGAGTCTCCGCCGTAGAAGCGTTGGCAATCCCATCCAGGCACTTGGACACGGCGTCCCAGACCTTCAAAGCGGCAGAAGATCTGTCGGCGCCAACCCCGACACCCTCGTCAAGAATCATGGTAGAGATTCGAGAGACCAGTGTGCCGCCAGCATCAGCCGCTGGACCATCAGATGGCAGAACGGGCAGCTTCTTGTTGATCTCCGGTACCGGTACTTCCTTGCGAGGGGGGAACTGCTCGGACTGGCGATATTCAGGAGGCGGCGGTGGCTTCGAGTCACGGTAGAATGATCCAAGCCTGTATACATTAGTTGCCTATTTATCCTTCGCATCGGTTGTGTACTTACCTCGGAAATCCCTTCAGCCGCGACTTGGACGGCGTCGAGGGTGTAGGAGGAAGACTCCCACGCACCGCGACCCGCTGCTCCGGAGTCTCTAGAGCTTTCACGGGCATACTCTCCCTCGTTGGCGTCGTCACCTTGGACGAATCAGGGGAATCCTTCCGCTTCAGCAGAATCGAGTCTCTCAGGGGAAGCCGTCGACGTTTGGGCGACGTCAACTTCGACCGCGCCAGCCCTGGGGAAGGCAACGGCGGCTCCACCACTTCCTGAACAGGCCTGTTCTCCTGGCCATCCCGCTCCTTCTCGTCCCTCGCGCCATGCCGACTCGGCGACAGAATACGTAAGGTCATGACAGGGCTGCGGCACTCATACGGCTGTGTCGACGAGCTATACACGCGGCCGGGCGAGCCGCTGGCGCGCCGGGGCAGCATCGAGGACGAGTTCACGTTCGGTCGGGACTCGTCCTCCGGCGCGGTGTATCGCGAGCGGATCGGGGGTCTGTTGGTGGGCACCGGTGGGCGGTACTGCGTCTCGACCCTGGTTCTGCGGCCTGACGTGCTGCTCCGCGGCTGTGGGATGGGATTGCTGGCTGGAGTATCTGGACGAGCAGGGCGTTCGGGACGTTCAGGACGGCGGGGCGGTTTTGGTTGGGTCTGCCATAGCGGCGAGCTCACGCCGTGTTGTGTGTGCCAAAATGGAGAGGTCATCGTGTGGTTTGGCAGCCTGCTCGACTTACACGAGAACGTAACTCAACGTCGGTGGAGTTGTCAACGAAGGCACAACGAAGGCGCAACAAAATCGAGTGAACGCCTCGAATAGACTTCAGGATCCAGTTAACTGAAGAGCCTTCGCGGCATGATGGCCTCGACCTCGGACGTGGGGGTTTGAACACTCATATCTGCCTCTTTGTGGCCCTCTCCCAACATCTTTGTCCGTAGGGATGAGCAAAATCTTGAACAGTGTGCCCATCCACACCCATAGCCTGGTCGCTAGTCCATCGCTAGCCCGGTATCAGCAGATGCCCTTGGTGTGCGAGACGGCATCCCGAAACCTGACGAACACCCGTCGTATCCATTGGCCCGCGCCGGCAAGGGAGAAGCGAAGTTGGCAGTCCGCGCAGTTGCCAAGGGTCGTCGCGACTGAGACACGGTCTCACGCTCCAACGAGGGGCGGGTTCACCGTTTGTGGTGTGCTCGATTCACATCATTGGACAGACGGCGCATCTCTCCCTTCGGATCCCTTCGGCTGAGGTGGGCACACAATGCCGGAGGCTGGACTCCCTGGATGGCTGGTGGATGGTGATGGTGTGCAGGAGGGAGCCGGAGGATGGCTTTTTTGACTGCGCTGACGATGACTGAATCTTGTTTGATTCAAATTTCTGAGGGAATCCGCATCTTCAGTGGGTGATCGGCGAGGAGCTGGTAGAACATCGGATCGAGTTATTGTCTGCCCGGCCTCGACTAGGCACTGCCGAGAAGCAGGGAATCCGACACCGGATCCCTTGTGATCGGTCCATCAACCGGCACAAAGCTGGTGATATCTGGGTTGCATAAAAATAGAGTGACACCTCGTCTTGGCCGCTCCGATTTCGACTCGATGATTAGACATGATGCAGCTCATTGAGCATTCGGCATCACGATTTGTTTTTCTGAAGTTGTGATGGTGGTGTAGGAGCATCAGCTGAAGGCCACCCAGCCTCTTCTGAAAAGGTTTGTGATGAATTATGTCTAGAGATGAAACTCCTGGACGGCCATCTCTTGACATAATTTCGCTCAAGTCTCTCCGACTTGAACAAGCCAAGACCTTTGAGTATACAATGTGATGAAGATGATGAAGGAGGATGAGTGTAAGCAGGTAGCTTGGCTTGCTGCCAGGTAGCTGTGGGGGCCTTATCTTATCAGCCACCCAGCACGGTTCTCCAGCCAGGATACGTACCTAATTTCCAGGAAATCAGGTCGCTGACGAGAAGATCAACACCTCCAGCTTCCCAGCCTCACACAAGATTCAGCAGCGCATAACGGCCAATTGCTCGACCACAGCCGTCCGCCAGCAGCCTGCTCCACCCCTCTTGCGTGTACCATCCGAACACGCGTCTCACGCATCCGCAGCCGAAGACATCCACGCGCCGCGCCCGCAAGGCCCGCACCAACCGGCCCAGAAGCTCCCTCCTCCAGCTCCTCGATCCCGCAAACCCCCCTCCATCCTCGCGAACAAATCACCACCCCGAACCCCCGCCATGGCAGACACATACACGGAAGGGCCCCCGCCGGCCCTCGCAGAAGTCAAGAAACCCAAAAAGAAGAAGGTCCTGCTCATGGGCAAGTCCGGCTCCGGCAAGTCCAGCATGCGCAGCATCATCTTCAGCAACTACATCGCCCGCGACACCCGCCGCCTCGGCGCCACGATCGACATCGACCTCTCCCACGTGAAATTCCTCGGCAACCTCACCCTCAACCTCTGGGACTGCGGCGGCCAGGAGGCCTTCATGGAGAACTACCTCTCCCAGCAGCGCGTCCACGTCTTCTCCAACGTCGGCGTCCTCATCTACGTCTTCGACATCGAGTCCCGCGACATCGACCGCGACCTCGCCACCTACGTCTCCATCATCTCCGCCCTCCTCCAGTTCTCCCCGCAAGCAAAGATCTACGTCCTCATCCACAAGATGGACCTCGTCGTCCCCGCACACCGCGAGTCCGTCTACGACGACCGCGTCCGCGTCGTCCGCCAGAAGACCGCAGAGTACGCAAACTCCATCGGCTACCTCTCCCACCAACAACAGCAGCAACAGGCAGACGACAGCAACGACCCCAGCAGCCCCGTCCAGCAGCCGCCGCAGACGGGCGCCTTCGACATCACCCCCTTCGCGACCTCCATCTGGGACCAGTCCCTCTACAAGGCCTGGGCCAGCATCATCCACGACCTCGTCCCCAACCTCGCCACCATCGAGCGCAACCTCGCCAACCTCGGCGTCGCCATCGAGGCCGAGGAGCTTCTCCTCTTCGAGCGCACCTCCTTCCTCGCCGTTTCCTCCTGGACCTCCGAGGAGGGCCAGCGCAACCCCACAGAGGACCGCCTCGAGCGCATGTCCAACATCATGAAGCACTTCAAGCAGACCATCTCCCGCTTCACGGGGACCCCGCGCAACGCCGAGCAGTTCGTCCGCATGGAGCACAAGGCCGGCACCCGCTTCAACCTCTTCATCCTCAAATTCACGACAAACACGTATCTGATGGTCGTCCTGCCGCCCGGCGAGGCGCGGTTCAACGCCGCCATGCTCAATTGCCAGATTGCCATTGAGCACTTTAAGTTTCTCGACGGGCCGGCGACGATGATGGCGCACAGCGGGGCGGCTGGGCCTGCGTGAGAGAGTGTGGTTGGGGTGGAGAGGAAAAGAGAGACATCACGCACTGTAGATTTGTTTTTTAATATTGTGTGACGCTGGGCAGCAGCCTCGTAGCTGCTGTGGCGCATGGCAGGGATGATTAATGATACCATTTCAAGAGGGCGTTTGAAGGAACCACGACATTGTAGCATAGCATACACCAAAATCACATGTACATCACCTAGTCATTGAAGATGTTCTTGAGTACTTCTATTTGTCGGGACGAATCTACATTCCACCCAGAGGCAAGAAGGCCTCGTACACCCTAGCCGCACCACCCATTGTGTGAAGGCTGGGCTGAAAAGAAATTCCAAACGCCGCCGTTACCCGCCATTTTTGAAAGACCTCGCTCAAGCCCACTTGACAACGGCGGTACCGCCCTTCTTGAACTCGGGCATCTCGCCCAGCACCAGACTGCGATCGGTGTGGTCCTTGTTGGGGAATGTCGTAGCCAGCACCCAAGATCTGGTGCGAGTGTCGGCGGAGGCGCGCTGGACAAACTCGTAGACGTCATTCACAGTGTTAGTGGTGTTGAAGCGCGCGGGAAGTCTCGTGCCGTTGGGAAGCTGGATGCGGAGGGTCAGAGTTGGCTGAGACTCGTCGACGGTGGTCTGCGGGCCGGAGGAGGTGGTCGAGGCGGAAGCGGTGGTGGTCGAAGCTGCAGGGGCGGCGGCTGACGAGCTGCCCTCGCCTGGGACGGGGCTGCCGAGACGGCGACCCTCTCCGCCGAAGGGCTTGTACTTCTTGGGAAGGGGACGGTAGTTCTCCTGGTGCTGGTGGAGCTTCACGTCGACTGGCTGGTCGTAGCGCACGTTCATAAGGTGAAGGGGAGCTCGGCCGGCGCGAATCATGTTCAGGTCCATGGCGTTCTCCGGGTCGTCGAATCTGTGCAGCTCGCCGTCGTCGATGCTGAAGCCGTCCTGCCAGAGGTGAAGAGTGCGCTCCTGGGGTTCGCCGGTCTGGCCTGGAGGGCCGCTAGAGCCCTCCTGGAAGGCATTCGGGTCGGGAATGCTGCGGCTCTCAGTGCCCTCACCGCCGAGGGTCTGGCCGGTGCCTCTGAAGGTGGAGCGGGAGGGTCCGGCCGGAGATGCTGTCTCGGGGCGGGAGGCGTTCCTGTAAAGGTCAGTTTTGATCTCGGAGTGACTGTGGCCAGCACTTACGCCTTTGCCTTGGCGAGGATGTCACTGATGATCTTCTTGGCGCCACCTCCCTCCTGTTGAGAGGGATCCTGCACGGCCAAACCAGACTTTTCTCCTCCAGCGAACAGATCACCCCTGCCTCTGTCGTCGTCGTCCTCGTCGTCCTCATCATCGTCGTCGTCATGCGCGTGGCCGCCTCCAAGGGAGCTCAGGGTGGCGAGGCCCTTCTTCTTGGGTGCCTTGCTGGATGCAGCACCGCCGCGGGCAGCCTCAGGCGCAGGGCGGCCATCGAGGGTTCTGGGGCCGGTGTATGCTTCTGTGGCAGGGGCGGCCTGGGATGACGATGCAGCAGCACGTTGGGGAGCATCGTCTTCGGAGTCGTGGTCCGCGTAGTAGGCCTGGGCGGCGAGGCCGATGTCCCAGTTCGCGGCTTCGAGGTACTCTGTGCACTGAGGGGGGGTCAGCCAGGAACGCAAGCAACGAATGACGAGATCGTATGGAACAGGCAAGCACGTACGCGAGCCTCGGGGAGGCCAGTCAGGCTGGTGAAGTCGCGCAGGATGTTGTTGCGCGAAGCGCTGTTGCTGCCGGACATGATGATGGCGGTTCTGCAGGTGGATGGTGGGGAAGAGGGAAGGAGGATTGCAATGAGTGACGAAGCGATGCAATTGTCGCTGCTGAGATTTTTGTGTTGCAGCGAATGTCTTATCCGGAAAGAGGTGAATTAAGGTGTGTGTCCCTTCAAGGTTGCGTCCTCCCAAGGTTCAGGCAAAAGGAAGTGATTACCTGCGCGTGGTGGTGAATGGTGTTGGTGATGAACGGACTAGAGCAGGCAGCTTAGTGGTCGTAACTGCCTGAGTTAGAGCTTGCTGCTTCCGTTCCTGTACCTCTCTAGCACGTTCCCTGTGACGTGGGATGGAGCCACCCAGGCCACCCAGGTGCACCTTCCAGAACCCCACCACAGCACCTTCCCTGGGCGCCGCAAGGTGCAGCCGGATCAGATATCCACCGGACCCCGCGCTTATCTAATCTTGATCCATGGATCCCGTCTTGTCCCGCCTTGGAGAGCTCAGGCACCTCAGCTAGCTGTGATGATTTCCCGAAGTGAAGCCGGAGCTGTCCACCCTCGTCACAGCACCTCGCCCAGCACCGAGATTCGGTAAACGTGCCTCGCTCGCCGTCGTTGGATCTACTCTGCGGTCACCAAGTAGCTCCCCAACAACCCGCCTCAACCATCACCCTCCCATCCGATACGAAATCCCCCCCGTCGACGATGGCTTCCCACGACGACTCGCTCCACCCCCTGGCCGAGTCTGGCGTCACGATCCGCTCCGACAGCGAGCAGTACTCCCAGGCCGAGACCCCGTCCCCCCCGTCGTCGAACTCGCCAATCATTCTCTACAAGCCGCCTACCTTCTGGGGTCTGGTACGCGGCGCCGCTATCAACCTGTTGCTGCCCTTCATCAACGGCATGATGCTGGGATTCGGAGAGTTGTTTGCCCACGAGGCAGCCTTCAGGCTAGGATGGGGCGGTACCAAGGTATGGAGAGACTGGGCGATACGCTTTTGCTGCTGCTTGCGAGAACTTGCGCACAATGCAGTTCTGGAAAAGGCGATGTGGAAAGGACATAGTAGCTAACACTCCGCAGGTTTTCCCCATGTCCAGGAGGAGAGCCCACCCCATTGGCCCTGGCCTGGAGGTCCGCGACAAGCGTCGCGCCCCGTCCCCGGGTCTCGACGACCTGACGAGCCTGGAATGACTAGGCGGATGGGAATGAGGGCTTAGGCGCACTGACGACGTCCTGCTGGTGATGCTTCAGAAGTATTACTGTTGTGACATCGTCTCTCGTTGAGGATGGCGATGCTGTCCGGCAGACAGGACATGCAGCAAAACAAACCAAAACTTGAAAGGAATCGTGTCTGGCAGAGAATAGACACAAATCATGCATCGGCGTACGGAAGATGGAGGGTGTACAAACAAGACCCCTAGACAGGCGGCGCGGACCGGGTGAAAGGGACGAGTCCAAGAATCTTGAATCGTACATACATGACGGTAGAATCAAAAACGAAACGAACCAAATTACTTCCTCTTGTCTTCCGAATCTCCAGAAACAACAGCGTGCTGTTGACGAAAGCAACGAATCAGCTGCTCCGACATCCCTCATATCCAATGCTGACCCTCCACCAGCCTGCCCCAGGCCCCGGGAGACGGAGCCGGGAAGCTTGGGCCACCCACCCGACGTTTTCCCGGCGCGTCTGCGGTCCCCAAAAATTTCCAGCACCCGCGCATCTGTCGATAGAGACGTCCTTCAATTCCCACCACACCCCTCTCCTCACAATCGCCCACCATGCTGCCCAGCAGAGGTGTCCTCCGTTCCCTCCCCTCGGCGAGGGCGACCAGCAGCATATCCAGCCAAGCCGTACGCACCTCCCTCTTCCTCAATTGACGGAACCCTGCTCCCCCGCCATTGCATCCCAAAAAAGTCAAGGGCTAACTCAATAGCCAGATCTCTAGGTCACCCAGACGACTCGGCGATGGACGTAACTTCAGCTCCCTGCGCACCACTGCCAGCGGCGCTGCCCCCTGGGCCGGCTTGAGGACTTCAAGCGGCAGACTCGCCGGTACCGTGGCCATCGGCGGCGCCCTCCAGACCCGACGAGCCATCTCACTCTGGGGCAAATCCGAGCCCGCACCCCAACAACCAGCCCAAATCCAGACACCACCGGCACCCTCACCACCCGTCGAGCCCGCCGCCGAAACCGCCGCTGCCGCCGAAACCGCCCCCGCCGCCGAGCCCGTCTCCATCCCCGCCGAGCCGTCAACCCTCGTCGACCCGACGGCCTCCTCCCTCCCCTCCATCGACGCCGCCACCCTCCTCGACCTCCCCGAGCAGATCGGCTACCTCAAGACCCTCGGCCTCGACTTCGGCTGGGGCCCCTCCTCCGTGATGCAGTGGGCCCTCGAGCACGTCCACGTCTACTCCGGCCTGCCCTGGATCGGCTCCATCACCGTCACCGCCGTCCTCCTCCGCCTCCTCCTCCTCAAGCCCCTCCTCAAGGCCCAGGAGACCTCCGCCAAGCTCCAGCTCGTCCAGCAGAACCCGCAGTACGAGGCGCTGAAGAAGGCCTCCGTCGAGGCCCTCAGCATGGGCGACACGGCGCGCACGCAGGAGCTCCGCCGCGACCTCGCCACGATGAACAAGCGCGCCGGCGTCAACCCATTCAACGCCGCCTGGGGCTTCCTCCAGATCCCCTTCGGCTACGGCATGTTCCGCGTCCTCAACGGCGCCTCCAGCATCCCCGTCCCCGGCTTCGAGAACGGCGGCTTCGCCTGGATCACCGACCTCTCCGTCCCCGACCCGCTGTACATCCTCCCCATCCTCGGCCCCATCTCCATGTTCGCCATGATGAAGGTAAGAGCCCCTGTTCCTCCCCTCACGCCGCAACACAACTAACAAACCACCCAAAGACCGCTGGCGCAAACGCCTCCCCGCAACAAAAGGCCCAGCAAAAGATCCTCATGTGGGTCATCGGCCCCATCTCCGTCGTCGTGACCCTGTACCTCCCCGCCGCCGTCCAGTGGTACTTCTTCGTCTCCGGCCTCATCGGCGTCGTCCAGAACTACACCCTCACCCGCCCCGCCATCCGCCGCGCCCTCAGCCTCCCCGTCGTCGGGCCCTCGGGCGGCCGCAGATACAACGGCGGCGCCATCTCCACCACCGCCACCTACCAGGCGCCTTCCCCGCGCTCGGGCTCCGAGGACGGCTCCATCAAGGGCGTCGTGTCCAGCATCCAGCAGACGATCCACAACGCAAGGGGCGGCGCGGGCAACTACCTCGAGGC